CGGGTCAAGGGCAGTCGTCAGCGGGGTGCGCCTGGAGCCTCCAGCCCGCGGGGACCCAAGGCGACCCCGCCGCGGCCATCGCGGCTCCCAGTGTTATTGCCGGCCGTTTCTCCATTTGCATTTGACGCTCGCCTCCAGGAGCCTCCAGGAGCGGGCAGCTGTCGTTAGTCACCCTCCGGCCGCGCGGTCGAGGAGTGCCCGCCCGGCGCTGGAGGCTGCGGCTGCTGCTGCTGCTGCAGCTCGCACTCCTCGGGCCTTGGCCACCACCGCCGTGAAACCAAAGTGAGGGACTTTGCAATACGGGGACGTCGTCGACACGACCCGACGCACGTCCGCGATGACGACGACGACGAGGACGAACGTGCGGCGGCGGGCATGCATGCGGGGGCGACACGGGCGACGAGCGCACAAAACCGTTTCGCAAAACCGCATTCCGCGACGACCTGGCGCGCGTCGGGTCGCGCCGCCTGCCCGAGCAGCAGACGCCCTGATACACATTCGCATTCACGTTCCCGCGGCCCCCGGCCGCCCCCGCGTGTCGCAAGCGGCAGAGCGCCCGCTCGCACTGCTCGTCAATCATGAACCTCGCAACTGCCGGCCCGGGGTGCACCACTTGCGTCTCCCCGTCCGTGAGGTCGGCGGCGGCTGCGAGGGGCGCGCGTCAGGTTCCGTTGCGCCCAGTACAGGGCCCTGGTGTGCAAGCCGGGTGATTATATTGATGCGGTTTCCTTGTCCGGCTGCCGCCGCCGGGCCCGGTCGGTCGGGGGGTCGTGGCCGGGGTCGCGGCCTCCTCCTTTCCTTTCGCACTCTCGGAGCAGCCGTACCACTCGCCTCTACAACCAGTCGCCGCGATGGTTGCCCAAGTCGCGGACAAGTTCAAGCGGCGCCGAGGTAATTAGAAACACAAACTCGCGCGCGGAGGCCGCGGGTGCCGCGGGCCGGAACACGAACACGGGGAGGCTTATCGTGTATTAATAGGACGGGAACAGCCGCGGCGCCTGACCCCGCCGGGCCGGGCTGACCCGCGGGCCCCGCGGGCCGCGAAGCTCGGCGATAGGGTCCTGGCCGCGGCGGCGGGCGCGAGGGATCTCAAGGATGCCGGCGTGCTCCTCCTCTATGCGAGCGAGCCGCTGGGCTGGGCAGGACCACGTCGTCGTGCCGCCGGAAAGATTTGAATAGACATCCAGTCCGCCCTGGGCGCGGCCACGTGCGGGCGGGGCCAAGGTGAGGACGGACCATGGCGTCGGCCGCTGCGGTATTTGTTTGGACGGCTGTATTCGTCCCTCAGAATAAGGAAAGGCTCCGTCATAATAGACAGCCTCGCTCACAAAAATGCATATAACAATTCTGTTGTTTTTATCGGCCACGACCATCATCAGCTGTGGAAAGATACTCCGAGAGGATCGCGTCGGCGGCCGGCGGCTACCTCCCGCACAAAACCATGGACGACGCGCACGTTTTATGGACGTGTGTGGGCCTGCCTTACCTCCCTAGGGCTAAGGTGCAATAGAGGCTGCATTACTCTTACCCAGGGCGGTGTGTCGCCGCGTGCCCCGCGGACATGAAGAGAACGCGCTCCCGCCCCGTAGGGCCTCATTATGGGGCGGCCGCGCGTACGTGATCATCCTCCTCGTCCTCCCCGCCTGTCTCCTCTTCCTCCTCGTCCTCGTCGTCATCCTCCTCGTCCTCGTCGTCATCCTCCTCGCCCACGTCGTCATCCTCCTCGTCATCGTCGTCATCCTCCTCGTCCTCGTCCTCCTCTTCCTCCTCAAACTCGCCCTCCTCATCCTCATACTCGTCCTCATCCTCCTCGTCTTCCTCCTCGTCCTCCTCCTCCCTGTCCTCCTCGTCCTCCTCCTCCCTGTCCTCCTCGTCGTCCTCGTCCTCCTCAACCGCGTCCTTGTCCTCCTCAACCTCGTCCTTATCCTCCTCGTCCTCGTCCTCCTCGTCCTCGTCCTCCTCGTCCTCGTCCTCCTCGTCCTCCTCGTCCTCGTCCTCCTCGTCCGCCCGGCCACTCCTCTTCTTCGTCTTCCGAGCCGCCCCGGTCCACCTTGGTTCCTGCCGCCCTCCGCGGCCGCGATGCCCGCGCTGCTCGGCCCGCACCGCAATTAGCAGGCGGGTACGAATGAGGAGGTGCGGGAGGCGGCCGAGGTGTCCGGCAACTGGGCGGCGCTCGCCGGGGACTTACGTGGCTTCGGCGAAATAAGGTCCGCGCCGTATGAACAACCCTCGTGTGTCAATGCGAGTGTGCGTGCGTCTGTGTGTATGTGTGTGTGTGTTTCTCCGTGAGTATATGCGTGAGTTGCACACGGGTGACTCAGCTGGCTCATTCGCATTTAAGGTAAAGTAACGTTACGCACGACGCACTATAACGAAAGGTAAAGCACGGTCATTAGTTATTACCGTGCAGAGAGAGAGGGGGGGGAGGGGTGGCGGAGAAAAGAGGTACTGCCATCTATTATATTATCTCGGAGCAAGAGGGGAAAAAATCCTATTGCTGACCGGTCTCTACGGAGAAATAGACTCATCCGTTCCCGCGGGTTTGATTAACGTTGCAGACCAACAACAGGTTGGCCTGGCCTGCCCTGCTGCTCCTCCTGCGCCCCGCTCGGCGCGGCCCCGCCGCCCGGCTCCGCCCCGCCCGTCCTATAGGGCCGTAGGGAAGGGTCACTGGCCGTGGAGCGGCGTTGCGCAAAAGAGATCAAAGGCCACGACTTCAAGGGCGCCTGTGAGTCCTGCATGCCAGCTCGAAGATGGATTACAGGGCCATCCCGCGGGGAACGGGTTTTGTGGTGTTCGGTTTCCGGGAGAGGAGGCGGTGAGGAGGAGGACCCCCTCGGGCGGACCCACTCGCTTCTCCTCCTCCTCCTAGGCAGACGAGGAGCAACCGCGTGGGACGAGCAGGATCGAGTTGCACTCGTTCTTCTTCTCCTGTGCAGCAGGTGCACGATGCGCGCCGCACGGGAGCCGCTACACCGCGAAGCAAAGAACCAAAGTAAAGAGTTGGTTGTCTGTCGCGGGGATGAGGCGAACCGCAAATGGTATTGATTAACGTCCCCCCGGTAAGGAGCCGGGCGGCCGTGGCGTGGCGAGGCGCCGCGCGGGAAATATTATTATCAATTATTTCGCAGCGCCTCACTGGCGGGATGGGCCATAACTTATCCTGTAAACAAGTCTGAGGCAGCGGCGCACCGTCTGGCATCACCCTAGGGGACGGCCTAGGCAGGGCGGGGCGGGGCGTGGGGCGGAGAGGTCGGTTACCTGATGCGGTCATCCCTCTTACTTTGGCCAGGGTACTGGGTAAATAGGCCGCCGCTTCAGGAGAGCTGAACAACATGGGGAGAGTTGTGTTCCGGGGTGTTCCAACAACAAACTCGCTCTGTGTATAGGTTTTACCCGCGCGCGCATCTCTTGACGCGAGTAAAAACCGCTCATTTATGCGTTTTTGTGCCGAGCAAGCGTTGCTTTTGCGCTGCCGCTGCAAGGGTGCTACGCGTATGGGCCATTATCGGTAGTGTTACCAACTGACATTTGGATGCGCGCGCGCGCGCGCTGAGCAGCAGCAGGTTTGCCAACATGGCCGGCCACCACCGTCACAACTACTACCACTACTTGTCGCCCTTCGCGTGCGTTTTGTACTCTCACTTCGGCACAGGCCGACACTTACCACCACAGGCGAGACCACAGGCGCCGCCGAAACAGCGAGCGCGCGCACACTCAACTCGATACTTGAGGGAATGTCACAAACTTTATCGCAGCGGATTTTCTTTTAAAATCTTTTACGTCCGCCGGCGTGCAGCAGCAGGGCCGTACACGGTTCGAGCGCTGGCTGCAGGTGTGTGCAGCTCACCTTTTCCCCGGCCCGCCTGCGCCCTGTCGTATTCCCCTTACTTATTACCGCCCGGGCCTCGCGATACGTAACATTATGTTGAAAACGCGCCGCCCCTCGTCAAAGTCGGGATGAACAAAGCGAGCGCCGCCGCCGCCGCCGCCGAGCCGCACACAATGCCCCTTCAAATAATCAGTTTAAGGCGAGTAAAAACACACGGCACGACAATGGATGGAGCTCGCGAGCGGCGGTGGCGGCGGCCCGGACGTCGAGTACGTACGTACGACGGGAATGTGCCGGGACGTGGCCGCGAGCAAGGTGATCTCGTGCTGCGCCCCCTCGACGGGTGACAACGGTGACTGAGCTCTTTAATTTGATGGACAGGGGGAGTGGGAGTGTATGAATAATGTTTCGCAATCACAATCATCATAGTCGCTACGATGGCGCTATTTGCCGGCGTCGCCACAAATTAGTCACCCGGGGCGTTGTGCAATGGGCCCCCTGGCTGGCCCGCTCTCCTCCCTCGGTGAGATGTGGTCCAGCCCGGCTCCCGTCGGCAGCGGTCGCGCAGCGGTGGGCGGGGCACGGTGGTGGCGCCTCCTGTGCCTCCTGTGCGCGCCCGCCGCGAGCACAGCTCTCGTTTCATTTATGGTGGGCTATTGTGACACGCGGGTCGGCCCCGATCAACCGGTCCTATTATTAACGCTTGTTATTTCTCTCTGTCTGCGCAGGGCTCCTGGCGCTCGCACTCGCAAGGGCGGAAGAAGATGGCTACCTGTACCCCAAGCCTAACGTCCCGTTCCTAGAGGGCGGCGGCCAGCTGCCGCAGCCTCAGTACAAGCCACAGCCTCCGCCTCCCCCTCCCCCGCAGCCGACCTATAGGCCCCAACC